AATCTTGGAAGGATATAATGTGTCAATTCTCAAAATCCACTTGAAGTTTTTGAGTTTGAATTTCAAATTAAACTAGAACCTTTGGCGATTTGAACTATTCCTATTCTTGGTAAAGTACTCCACCCTTATTCAAAGGCAAAAAAGAAAGCTTAGTGTCCTCCATAAAAGCTTGAAAGCTTCTGGAACTCTTAATAGCTCATATTAAACATCACAGCAAATAAAATATAAATGAATAAGAAACAGTTGTATTACCCTGCCCTTGAAATATGTATGAACTTTGAAATTAAGAAAGTTGAGAGAGAAAAGAACTGGTGAGAGAGAATAAATTGATCGTGACTACTGTATTATCTTATAATCAAAACATTCTTCTCCAGTTGAATACAAAAGATCAATTTCTAATGAATTCTGAAATTTGAGTTTGCTCCAGTATCTCTAATGTTCCAACACTGTTAACTTATTTATAAAATAAATACTGTTGTAATGTTTTCTAAAGAAATATGTATTCCTAGAACAAGAATTTTCTTGTTTGTTCTAATTGACTATACATTCAGCATTATTTTCCTTTAATCCACCTGATTGTTTATACCAAATTATCTAAAGTGTATATAGACACAGCTACATGGCACTATGCATGCTTAATTTTCTGCCACTGGACGCAAAGGATAAGAGGAAGGTATTAAAATATTTTAATTTTTCCCCTGCTTCTGCCAACTATTTAATGCTTTTCTAATAGTAATGAAAAGTTTTGAGCTCAAAATCTAGTTATAAATTTCCAAGGCTCACAGAGAAGTTAAGTTGGGAACACAGAATTTATCTGGCTTTCAGCTCTACTGTGCTTGCTCCAATACAGATGAATATAGAAGACAGAGACTACACTATGAAGTCTGTGGTTTGTGTGCCCTTATGCTGGATGAAATTAACTGCTACTTTGTCGTGAACATGTGGATCAACTATAAATATAAAAGAAGTCAAAAGTGTAGACACCCTGGTGGTGTAGACACCAAGGGTGGCCAACATTTCCAAGAAGGAAATTATTTCTCTTCGGGGTCTTCAATCCGTCTCCCTGACCTTGACCCTCAGGCAGTGCCTCCTTCCCTGATTAATCAGGTTTGACTTAGAATCTTCCTGTGGTAACGCACACAGTCTGAATCAGTCTGGACTAAGGTAGACCGGAAACAGTAGCAAAATATGCCACCCCAAAACATACCGCTTTTGTATGTTGATTGTTTTGAGTCATATGCAGTTGAAAAACAGCAAATGTAGGAACGGGCTTTCTCTGAACTCCCCTCATTTGCCTAAAGACAGATCTTCCAAAAGGAGCTCAATTGTCATAAATCTGCTCCCTGGGAGTTTCAGTAACCAGGAAAGATTGACTCCTTACAAGAGAGGAGACTAGAAGTCCACACCACACTCAGACAAATTTTGTCACAAACTATCATACCTCTCTTCTATTCTTCTAATGGCCCATACATCTTTCCTTTCCATCTTTTACTCTCCTCTAAGAGGCGTACATTCCCCTCCCCTTTTCCTTATTAAGATGGTACTTAATGGTATAAGATACCATGTAAGATCGTATCTCCCATGTACACATAACATACACATATTAATAAACTTCTGTTTGCTTTCCTCTTATTAATCTGTCTTTTATTACAGGGTCTCAGCTAAGACCTCAGAAGGGTAGAGGGAAGAGTATTTTTCCTGCCCTACAAATGTATAAGTAATTGTGCCTGAAGGAGTTGGGGCCCACACTGCCTAAAAGTGCACTAATGAGGCACCACCCTGGAGAATACTCTAGATGTTCTTGCTGTAGGCCTTTCTCTCCCTTTTTAACTCATTTTAAGGTCCATTATGTCTACAGACACCATATTTTGTTCTCTGAGCCTCCACTCACTGCAAATAAGAAGTGCCTCTGTGAAGAATCACTTTCTGTCTTGACCTTGCATCCTTTCCAACCTTGCATCTGTTCCCCCCAGGCACCTGGATTTTAAATACTCTTCCCCTGTTTTCATTCTACCCTGATACTCTCCATACTTCCTTAGTTCCTTGCTGCAGCATAAGGTTATCCACTCTAATCAAACCGTTTACAGTATCAACTCAAAAGCATCCCCATCTATTTTCCCTATCCCTCTACTTAGCTTTGTTTTGATACGTACTTTGCCTGCTACTGAAAAAGTAAAGTATCGGTATCTCACTTTCTAAATTGTTTTGTAAATCCAGTCTAGTTATTGTACTTAATCGAATTCTCCCTACTTAGTACGTCTATCACTTATCATCCCTCTCTTCTTCATCTCTGCCATGTTTCATCTGGTCGTAATTTTTTTAATCTTATCAGTAGATAGGACTATATGGGATTCAGAGTCACATTATTCAACAACACTTGGGGTACAAAATTTCATATTGGCCAAATTGCAGGGGGCAGGGGGAAGTTTTTGTCCTATTGAGATGGTTGGCCCCATCTTTCTTACATGATGTGTAGTTGAGGGTGAGTGTGTATTCACTGGACGTGTATTGGGGACTGTCACATAGGCCTCCGAGCAATCCTGGTCCAATTAGATTCTCAAGAACTTCTCCCTGTCCTCTCCTCTTGGCAGATGGCCAGGTTGACTTAGATATGTTGGCAACATATTGCCATCACTTTACACCACCACCATCTTTATCTCTACATCAACAGTCTAATTGTACAACACATTTACGTAGATTGTTAACTCCTTTGAAAATGTGATGAAACCCATAAGACCCTCTTCTTAGAAAATTTACAGGCGCACATATAGATATCACTTTGTGTACAATTTGCAGGGGATTACTAGCCTGGGAGGCGGGGAGGCAATGGACACCTGGTGAGTAATCTTTCCTTTACAGAGTAAGCACGTTTTGAGAGGCATGGACACCACTGTCATCTCCTCCAGCAACACAGGGACCCAGCAGAAGGAGTAATGACATGGGGTGAGAGTAAGGAGGTATAAGAAGTGAACTTCAGCTAGAAATTCTCAATCTTCCCCACCCCAGGGTCAGTCATCATATTCATAGCCAAGGCTGCCGATGGTATTTGGTTTCCTGGTAAAACTCAAAGGATGCACTTGGCATTTGCTGAGCATAAACAGCATCCCAGTCTCTGCTGGCCAGATCAATAGATCCATAACCCTGTGGGAAACGTGAATGCATTTCTGTAGAGGGTGCAGCTGTGGGCCTGGAAAATGTCCACTGTCAACAATGAGAAAGCAAAAGGGACAAGTGGTTAAAGAAGGAGGAGTCTGGTTTGATCTTCACCCAAGTTTCTCAAATACGTCCCTTTCACTGTCAGGGAACATTCCGGCCTGTAATTCCTTGTCTATGGATTGTTCTTTTGTGGGAGTTGAAGTGATGGATAATGACTCTTTCCTAGGGAGTCCCCCAGAGATGTTTTCTGAGAGTACTCTTTAATTCTCTTACAGAAATGCTTGTCTGTGCAAATAGAAGCGGCCCTTTTTTTTGGTTTAATTTCTGGAGGGATCAGTGATTGTTGGGCAAAAACATTTTTGTTTTCATTTGTTTACTCATTCGACACACACTGACTACTTCTACAGGCCAGGCCTAAAGAATGCAACAAAGCCCTGCTCTATGGGAGCTTGTGATCTGGTGGAAGAGACATACATTACCTCTTGTCCTAGAAACTCGGAGACTCACTACGCATCCCAGCAAGATAGCTCATATGAAACCCAATAGCCCAATCATCTCTCTCAGCACAATGCTAATAAATTCTTACAAGCCACCCTAAAATATACTTCTGCTTTCAGTATTTTGGTAGAATATTTGAGAAATCTGTTTCTTTAATTCAAAAAATTTCAAGGGTTTTGAAACCCTGGCAACACATAAAGAGTGTTTGCAATCTAAATTTTAGCTTTAAGTTCTAGGTAACCTCAAGTAAATTGTGTAAATAATAGCCACAGAGATGTCTATGCATTTGAGGCACATGTGAAGGAATTGATTGCCCTCTACAGAAACACACAGACATCCCTCATGCTGAACAGCCTGACCCTTTTTCACTAACTACTATCTGGGCATGGAAGAAATTACTACCATTTCTTTGTGGACTTGCCATGTTTTATCTATTTCAGATGAGTAGAAGCAATAAGGATGAGAGAAACATACACACATGGAATGATGAAAACTGCAAGATATTGTAGATCAATAGCAAAGTTTGACTGGGTATAAAGAGTGATTATGTAAGTGTTCAGTAAAAGCCAAAAGCACATGCTCTAGCTCTCTTACTATAATTCTCAGGGTAAATATTGTCAATATTCACAATTACCAAAAAGCTTAGTGAAAGTTTTTCTTTTCTCTCTCTCTCTCTCTTTTTTTTTTTTTTTTTTTGCTGGGAAAGATTGGCCCTGAGCTAACGTCTGTTGCCAATCTTAAGGATGGCTCAAGTTTTTCTAAACTTAATGATGTCTTATAAATACCTAAAAGGCTAAGTAGTTTTCTATGTCAAGTTCTAAGTCTAGCATAAGGTTATTAATCAGCACAATATCCTCTAGAGGATCACTTATAAAACTTTGTGGCTTGCATTTAGGGACCTCCTTTTCCAGCAAGATGCTGTAGCTGTATATTTCTGTATTTCTCCCTTCATGTACAACTAAAATCCGTAGACATTATCTATAATACAAAGCCTCTGAAAGCTGAAGATGAGAAGGCAGACTGGCTAGGCACCTTAGAACTTGAAGATTAGTAATAAAACAGCAGTGAAGTCCTGGATCTTTTTTTTTTTTTTTTTTTTTTTTTGCCTCATAAAGCAAATGAGTTCAGAACCAAATGAAAAAAAATAACAAAAGCATGCTCTCTTTCTAGCCAAAAGACTAGGAAAGGGGCAGCTTAGCAAGATAGAAAACATGTAGACAATAAATGCTCTAATCCAGCCAAACACCACAGGAAATAAAACAGTGCCCACATCCTCATCCCAGCCAGCAAGGCTGAGAGCCCAGATCCACCCCCACGAGGTTGTAACCAGGTACTCCAGCACCCACCAGGATGGTATCAAGGAAGGCCAAGCAGGGATCTGGGACTTTTCCTCAGGCTGTCTGGTAATGAGCCCCTTCCTGCCCACTGTGTCAGTGGGGACCACATGGGGAGCTGAAACTTCTGCACCCGATTGGCAGTAACAAGGAGCCCTGCCCACTTTGGGTGTCAATGGAGGTCAAGTGGGAAACCTGGTCTCCAACCTCCACTTGGCAACAATGCAAAACAAACAATCCAATTAGAAAACAGGAAAAAGATATAAGGAGGTATTTCACTAAAGAGGATATACAGTGGGACAATAAGAAAAAGTGCATGAACAGATGTTCAATGCCATTAGTCAGAAAAATGTGAGTTAAAACTATCATGAGATATCACTGCACACCTTTCAGAATGGCTCCAACATAACACAGTGACAAAACTGATGCTGACAAAGATGTGGAGATACTGGATCACTCATACATTGTTGGTGAGAATGTTAAACCACTGTGGAAAAAAGTATGGTAGTTTCTTAAAAAACCAAACATATGCTTACCATATGACCTGACACTCCTGAGCATTTATCTCAGAGAAATGATGATTTATGCTCACATGAAAACCTGTACACAAATGCTTATAGCAGCAAATGTCTATTTGTACCACCCCAAAGCTGGAAACAGCCCGCACGCCCTTCAATGGGTAAATTGGTCAAACAAACTGAGGTCGGCCCATACCGTGGAATGCTACTCAGCAATTAAAAGGAACAAACTGCTAATACATGCAACCACCTTGATCAATCTCCATAATCAATCTCTTCATGCTGAGTGAAAAAAAAGAAACCAACCCTAAAAGATTCTACGTTGCATCATTCAATTTATATAATAATCTTGAAATGACACAATTACAGAAATGGAGTACAGATTAGTGATTGCTGGAATTTAAGGAAGGGGTGGGGTGTAGCTAATATGAGTGATCCTGGTGATGATGGAATGTTCTGTCTCTTGACTATAACAATGTCGATATCGTACTACAATTTTACAAGGTTTTCCACTGGCAGAAACTGGGTAAAGGGTACACGGGATCTCTTTGAATGATTTCTTACAAGTGGATGTGAATCTACAGATAACTCAGAATAAAAAGCCTAATTAAAAAACTTGTGGCTTGCAGTTCTACAGTTGGAAGTGGTATAGAGTGTTTCCTCTATGAATTTGGATCTAATTTATGAAAAGTCAGGGTGTAAAATTTAACTGTTAAACAAATGCATAATCCTTGTATATGGTAAATTATACTAATTAGTCGCTAACGAATACCTATTATAGGAAATATTCATTCCATGTGAAAGTGGGCTCAGGACTGATCTCGTCCTTTCTCTGTCTCTAAACTCCTTTTTCCTTGTGCGATAGGGACACTCCAAGGATCACTAACAATGAAACTTACTCCCACAAGTCGTTTTTTAGCACTTGGCTATGCTGCTGTTTTGTTCTTGAAAAGAATGCCCTCTCTAGACAGAGAAGTTGTCAAAAGGTGCCTTTATGGGCAAACCATTTTGACAAGAGGCTCCCTTTATCCAGGCTGACAGCAGTCCTGAGCCAAGACACTGGGTTTGGCAAGCAAAGCTCAGGCCAGATTTCAACTCCCATTTGTCTCCCTTGGCAATGGCCCTCATGTGGGACAGTTTGCACAATGCTATGCGGCAGCCCTGAGTCCTAGCCCCAGACTCAGGGCCTTCCCCTCTCCTGCTGCTGGCAGAAGGAAGAAGAGCACCTGGACCCTCTTGGGGAAATAAGGATCTTAGGACCCCTTTTCTGCAGCAGTGTTTCCCACCTGTGTGTCTGCTCCCTCCATTTTCTGGGTTTCCATGGTGGAGGTCAGGGAAGAGGTGAGAGAGGAAAACTAACATTTACTGATCACTTTCTATCTATGTGCCTATAACTTTTCATGGTGCTTTTAAACATTATGTGGCACTTTATGATACTTTCTTAGCAGGTGAGACCACTGAGGCTCAGAGAAGTGAAAACTCATTTGTTAAGGCCACCCAGTAAAGAGGAAGAGTTGGATTAAAGTCCAAGACCACTTGACGCCAAATAAAAAATAACTTCATTATGTCACTCAGTGTCCACCCTACATCCTTGGCCAACTACAGTGAAGGGAACTAAACCATTTAGACAGTTTGTTAGCCTTTAGCTTAGCCTTGACCTTGGTGGGGTGAGAGCCAAAGAGTCCAAGAACACAATTATCATCTGGAAGGCCCTGCTGGAAGGAGGAAATTGAAACTGGCCTGAGATAGAGTGGTTTGATCCCTGACTCTACTTGGTTACAGTGTGGTCTCAAGCTGAGGCCAACAGACTCTGAGAACCTGGGGATGGAACCCTGAAAGTCAAAGAAAGAAATTATAAGGTAGACCTAACGAAACTTTGAGACTGAAAAGAGTCTAAGACAGCAGAAGAGGTTTTGCCTTAGCAATTGAGTAAATTCTATTACCTTCTAATTGCAAAAGATTTTGAAGTAGAGTTCACAATTCCCTTTAGGAGTTAAAAAAATACAAAACGTCTAATATAGCTGATGGTCAAGAGATTAATATTTATGATTGAGACACTTTTATGCAACAAAGAAAACTTCTGAGTTTGAGGCAAAATAAGGTCCAATAAAGACACAGCATCTCAGTCTTTAGCATCCTTGGAAGTGACCAGAATTCCAAACAGAATCTCCCCCATACTCTGTCCATAGCCGTGACTCTACCAGTGTGTCACCAATTTTATTTTTCAAAAATTTAGATTACCAGTGTTTTATATCTACATTTAAAGATTTAGATACTGGAGATGTTTAAGTATTTATTATATTTAAAAGGAATATTTATTCCCTGGCTTTAGTTTCCCTCGTTCCCAATTACTTACATTATGAGTTCAAAGGGCTTTGGTGAACTGCCTGGGAAGCTAGCCAGCGTCTGTGAGATTGTTTCTAAGATAACATGCATTCTCAGTTCCCAATACCCTAGTTACAATAAAATTCTGTGAACACAATAAGTATTGTCAGCTCAACTATTCAATGAACAATAGGAGAAAATATTAATAATTCAGTCTATTCTTCAAGTCTCGATTCTCTTTTCCTGAACTACAGTTTTTCTCTTTTTAATTTGACCTGCACTCCTTAGGTTGAGTTTCACATTTTAGCACATAGTAAAACTGGAAAGTAGGAACATGAAATCTTTGGTTCAAATGGTAAGTGAAAAATTTTAGTTGCAAATGTGCATGTTATTCAAATAACCTCGTGAAGGGCTTCTGGCTTTTCTGGAGCGGGCTGCCTACACACGCACTTGCAGAAACATACCTTCAGCTTACAGGAAGTAACTCACCTTTTGGAGTGGTTCGTCCATCTGTGATTAACCAGCAAAGGCATTTTCAAAGTTTGCATTGGATAACTGCCTTGAAAGAGTTGAAAGGTAAGGCTGGTCTAATTTCTTAGCTGCCATTCACTTGATGACAGAGCTCTGAGCATTCTGAAGTTTAAGTCCCTTTCTCCGAGAACACCTTGACTGAGGCAGACACATCACCTGGAATTGGGACAGCTCCCACCTCAGAACTAGTCCAGGAGCCGATGTCAAAATGCGAATTCTAAAGTGGGACTGAAACTCTGAGTGAGTTAAGTTGCTTTTGTTGACAATGTTCAAGAGCCAAGGGAGTCAGACAAACTGTGAAGGCTGCAAAGGGGAGGTATTATATTGATAAAACTAAGAGAAAAAATGCAAATCTTGCTGGCCAAAGTAGAGGTCAAGCACTCAAGAAATACACACTGAAGACATGCTATCATTATAGTAGTGGCTTAGTACCTTACACTTGAATAGCACTTTACAGGTTATACGTCGTTTAAACATACAGTATCTCACCACAACAACCCAATTAGGTATACTTGACAGTAATGGTAATTCTTATTTTACAAAGAATTTTTGTGGCCGATTAAAGCCTTTGTATGACTAATTAAAATTTTAAGTGTTATGTTACGTGAAGCTGTTGTCCTGCTAGAAGAGAAAAATTGTATCATACCGCCAAACAGTACTGGTCCCTAGGAAACACTCAGGACTCAAGGTTATGAGGATTCATGAAACCCCATTGTCCAATGATTAGATCACAGATTTGCAAATCCAAGATTTGAGTTCCCAGTTCAAAAACCATCCCACTAAACTGCATAGCATTTTACAAGTCAGTTTAACTTGTCAGCGCCTCAGTTCATCTATAAAAGCATAACAATGAAAACTGCTAGTCCCATATTACTGTACAAGTTATTGCTCATTCAAGTTTCATTCAAAGATGTCTTTGGAATATCTACTATATTCCAGACTATTTTCAGCACTGAAGATTCAGTAGTGAACAAAATGCCAAAGACTTTGCACTAGAACTTATATTCTTGAGAAAGAGAATCAATCAATCAATCAATATTTTTGTAAAATGGTGATAAATATGGAGAAAAATAAGGTAGGGAAAGAGGACAGGAAGGCAGCATGGAATAAGGGTATGTAAATAACAGGGTGGTCAGGAAGCTCTTGCCAATAAGGTAACATTTTAGCTGAATCCTGACAAAAATATGGAGGCAAGCCAAGTGAATATCTTGGAGAACGGCATGCCAGACAGAGGAAACAGCAAGTGCAAAGGCCCTGAGGAGACCAGCGTGGTGAAGGAAAGTGAACAGGGAGGACAATAGAAGGAGAAGGTAGCAGTCCAGACCATTAGGGCCTTATAGACCATTATAAGGATTTTGGATTTTATTCCTAGTAAGATGAGAAGCCATTGGAGAATTTTAAGTAGAAGAGTGATAGTACTATGTTTTAAGGATTACTCTAGCTGACTGCTGTATTTCTATATTATAGAAATATAAAGTGAGTTACTTAATGTCACGTTAGATTTTCTATTAGTCACACTAAAAAAGTAAAAATTGCAGGTAAATTTCATTTTACCAATATATTTTACTTAACCCAATATATCGAAATATTATGCTTTCAATGTGTAATAAATACAAACTATCATTAATGAGATAGTTTACGTTCTTTTTTTCATGCAAGTCTTGGAACTCAGGCATGTGTTTTACACTGGCAGCTGATCTCATTTCAGACTGCACACATTTTGAGTGCTCAATAGCGATATATGGCTAGTGGCTATCTGATTGGATACCACAGCTCTAGTTGCTGTGTTAAGAATTAACACTAGCCTCATACATTGCTAGTGGGAATAAAATGTACAATCACTTTAGAAAATTCTTCAACAGTTTCCAAAAAAGTTAAACACAGAGTTACCATATGACCCAGAAATTCCGCTCCTAGATATATACTCAAGAGAACTGAAAACATATTTCCATGCAAAAATGTGTATGTGAGGGTGCATAGCAGCACTATTCACAACAGCCAAAAGGTGGAAACAACTCGAATGCCCATCAATCAATGAGTGAATAAATAAAATGTAGTATATCCGTACACTGAAATATTAGTCAGCCAGAAGAATAAATAAAGTATACTGATTCTTGCTACAACATGGCTGAATATTGAAAATACTATGGTAAGTGAAAGAAGCCAGACACAAAAGGCACGTACAGTATGAATGCTTTTATGTAAAATGAACAGAGCATGTAAACTCATAGAGAAGAAAGTAGATGAGTAGTTGCTGAGGGCTAGGGGTTGGGGGAACAGAAGGCACTGGTAGTGGTATGAGGTTGTTTTTACAGTGATGAAAATGTTCTGGAACTAGATAGTGATGACGCCTGCAGAACTTTGTGAATATGCTCAGAAACACTGAATTGTACACTTCAAAAGGGTGAATTGTATGGCATGTGAATTACATCTCAATTGAAAAAAAATATTAAGGTAAGGGGGCATGAGTGACTCATGGTGGTCAGTTAGGAGGCTAATGCAATAGTGCTGGAAAGACAGAAAGACAGCTTGGACAGAGTGGCAGCGGTACAGATTCTGAGACATGGCAGGATTCTGGGCATATTTTGAAAAGTAGAGCCAAAGAACTGTCTGATGAATTTTGGTCTGAGCATCCCGAAAGATGGAATTTCCATTACCAATATGGGGTATGACGTTGGAGAAAAAAATCCGCAGTGGTTAGAAACAGAAACTTGCTTTTGGACATAAGTTTGAGGTGCTCATCCCACAGGAATATCCAGTAGGTAGCTGGATATATAAATAAGGAATCGGGGGAGAGATGAGGACTAGAAAAAAAATTTGGGCATTGACACTATATAGGTGGTATTTAAAGCCATGAGCTTGAATGAAATCACTTGGGAGGTGAGAGTAGATAGAGCAGAGAAGAGGTGTGAAACCTGAGTCTTGGTTCACTCCCATGTTTGGGTGTCGGGAAAATGAGGAAGAACCAGGAAAAGTGACAGAGAAGGAGTGACCAATTAGATAGAAATAGAATCAAAAGTGAATGAAGTCCTGAAAGCCACATAAAGGAAGTGTTTCAAGAGCTGAGTGATCCATAGTGTCAAATGGTGTCAATAGGCCAAGGAAGATGAGAACTGAGAAATGACCATTAGATTTAGCAGCACGGAGGTCACTGGTGGCCTTGGTGTGGTCAGTGTGAAAGGAGATTATATTGAGTCAAGAAAGAAAGGAAGGATTATTGTAAATGACAGCAGAAAAATAGACCCATAGATTAAAGAGAGATGGGATCACATTATTGTTTTAAGGTGGAAGTAAAATACCAGTCTATTTGTATGCTTATGTAGACAATCTAGTGAAGAGAGAAAAGTCAAGATTCAGGAGAGGGAACATTGCTGGAGTGTAATCGAAAGGAGTGTGAAAATACTCTAAACACTTAGAAAAAATATTTTAAAATAAAAGCCAATGTATGTTCTGGCCTTTGGAAGGATTTCCTCTTGATTCTGTTTTAGAGGATTTGGTTGTAGAGTGGGCAGACTCACTTGGCTCAGTCCTGTACTTTTTTTTTCCTTCAAACTTTACAATCTCATCGAGAGTGTGCTGAAGGTAAAGTAGTGAGACACCTTGGGGCAACTCTGAGGTTGCAGGAGACATTTTTCTCAGGGCCTAAGCATCAGGCTGTTCCTGAAGATACTGGAAACTGCTCATCAAACATTTCCTTAATGATTGCAAAATTGCAAGCCCTTTCCAAGACTCACAATAAATCAACGGGTTAGGTCAGGAAATAGTTGTAAAGTCTCTTGAGTCATCTATTTCCATTTTTCTCTCTTACACTATCCATGGAGCTGGATTCAGTCAGCCTTTGATTTCAGCTGAAGGAACTGCAGTGTTCAGCTCAAATAACAGCTGGTTAGTTCCCAGAAAAGCCCTGGGAATGTTCAAGGTACCTCTGAGACTTTCCAGGGATCCTAGCACCTCTGCCATTATTCCCCAAAGGACTTCAATTCCATAGGCTCAATTGCCACCTTCTACAATGAAATAGAATTCAGATGCTCTGGAAAGAATAGCTTCCTGTAGGAGGGGGACACTGGTCCTCATTGTCCTGCATTCTGTCTCTAAGGATCCATTTTCCCTTAGAGATGTGGCTTTGAGGGGGAGGGGTCATTGATCCCTGTTTAGCAACCTGTCCTATGTACGGATACAGCATTTTCCTTAATATTCTTTAGTATAGTTGTGACTAGATTAAAAGTTCAAATCAGACTCTACTAAACACCAGGGTATAACAAAAAGGAAGTAAACTGAAATAAACTGAAAGGGAGTAACCCAGATAACCTGAATCAGAAGACAAGGCTTATAAATTTTCAACTTGAGGTCCACTAAGTGATGGATGCTTTCCTACTTAACTCCCAGGCTGCTCACACACACACACACAAAAAATGGATGTCTTTAACATCTTGCTCCTTGAAATAATTTAAGATTTTTGAAGTACAGACCATGAGATTAAGATCTGAAAAGCAATAGGAGTTCCCTCCCCAACATGCCTAAGATGTACTTGTGGGATACCACCTATACAGCACAATCGGGGTCAGGTTATTTTAATTTTGTCTACCTCTGGAAAGAAGGAATTTGTAAAGAAATAAGATAATCCACCAGGTGCCTATTCCAAATTCTCATGCGGCCTTTGTGAAATCAAAACTTTCTTCTCCAATTACTACCTCCTCCCCACACCCCCAAAAAACAAACAAAATTAGAACAAGTCGGGCAGTGAAAGATCTCAAAGAGGAATCATTGTCCAGGTGTCTCTCCATCCTCCCCTTGACTGGCTTGTGGATTCCTATTTGTCCACCAGCCATGCCCTGGTGGCTACCTCATTCTAGATAGTCATAAAAGGAGCAGGTCTACCTGTGTGCATTGCTGAGTGTTTTCCTCTCTTCTTTCCCTGGGGAGCTGAATGGGAGTTTTGGGTGGTGGC